ATGCATTTTGTCATGTACAAAGTTGATTTTTAAAAGAGAAGAAAATATGATTGTGAACTGATTCATCAAAAATTCATAAAAGATATTAAATCCTGTTAAAACCACAACTATGGTAAGATGCCATTTTCTACTCACCATAATGGCAAACACATGAAAAGTCTGACATGATGAAATGCCTTACTATGTACAATTTAATATACCCCATATAAGGGCCGCCCGTGTGGCACAAGTGGTAGAGTTCTTGGCTAGCAAGCTTAAAGACCTCAGTTCAAACCTCAGTACCACCAAAAGAAAAAAAAACCTACATATAAATATAAATATATATATATATATATCCCATATAAGAAGCCTGAAAATATCAAGAATTGGTGACAACATGGGGGTGCAAATTAGAATACCCACTTTGGGTAACGATTTATTATTATTTAGATACCACTTAGCATTCTGCTCTTATACATACATACCTTAAAGGAACTCCTGCACACACAGAATATTTTAAGCAGCATTGTTTTTTTTTGGTAACAGTAAAAACTGGAAGCTAATTTAAAGAAATTCAGCAGATATGTAAACTGCAACATAATTATACATCGAGATGTTAACACAGCAGTGAAACTGGTTGCATTGTGCAATTATGGATGCATTACAGACAACATGAATGGACATCATCAGTAATATCTAGTAATGAAAAAACTAAGTCACAGGCTGGTGGAGTGCGAGGGCCTGAGTTCAACCAGTATTGTAAACCAAACCCAACCAAATCAAAATAAAACAAAAGAAAAAAAAGGGGGAATCGTGGGCAAAACTATTCACACGAACATTAAGTTAACAAACAAAAAAAAGACAAGTAGCAAAGATAATGTAAGATAAATTAAAACCCTAAACCCAAAACATAAATAACTGAAGAGTATCATTTGATATCACAGATAGATGTAATCCATGATGGAAATAGTTAGCCCTTACCTTTTACGAGCTAAAAAGCCTTGCCTCAAACTATACAAGTACAGGAAGTCCGTCTTATTGGTGAATTCATTACACCTGCTTCACCCCCCCCCCAAAAAAATCAGAAGACATTTCAAATTTCCATGCATATACCATGCAGCTCTAGATGTTGAGTCCCATGTGATCGTCAGCTGTATTTAAATCATTGTGTGACCTGCTGAGTGTTTCCTGCCCTTAATTTTCTGAAAATCTGCTTCCCTAAAAGCAAATGGTACCCAAAAAGCAAGGTAAAAGTTCATGTGCTTAATTGAATGATAAAATGACAATATATGGTTTTGTCAAAGGTGGCATGTATTTAGTGGAAGTTGGGCAGTGTTATGGAAAAATGGATCAAGCATCCTCAGTACAGTACTGACCTGTGTGCACTATGACACCTGTGGTTTTCAACAATAGTGTCTCTTTGGAACCATATACCCACCAATACTGTAAATAATATTTAAAAAAATGAATAGGGCCAGGCATGAATAAGGAATAAAAAATGAATAATCTCAGCTATTCATGAGGCAGAGACAGGAGGACCCTGGGTTCAAGGCCAGCACCAGCAAAGTTAGCAAGACCCTATCTCGAAAACAAAATACAAACAAAAGGGCTGGGGGTGTGGCTCAAGTGCTCCCCAGTATTAAAAAAAAAAAAAACGCAGATGCTATCACTTTGGTTAGATATCCCCACACCCCTGGTCCCTAGAAGTCCTTTGCTCTATTCCCCCATTCTGATACTTCTGCCTTTTTGTCTTTTCCAGGATGTCCTATAAAGGGAACCACAAGGTCTTTTGAGTCTGGCTCCGCCTACTCAGCATAACACCCCTGAGATCCTCCCAAGCAGCACATCTGTCACTTGCTCACTGTATTTTATTGCTAAGTAGAACTCAGGTGTATGGATGGGTGTACCACATTTTACCTATCCATTCACCCACTAAAAGGCATTTGAGGGCTCTCCCTTTTGGGGGATTATGAATAATGCTGCCATTAACATTCATGTACAAGGTTTTGCGTCAACACAAATTTTAATTTCTCTTGGGTAAATACCCAGGGACTACTAGGGTCACATGGTGAATGTTTATAAGAAAATGTCCAACTTAGCCGGGTGCCAGTGGCTCACGCCTGTAATCCTAGCTACTCAGGAGGCAGAGATCAGGAGGCCTGTGGTTCCAAGCCAACCCAGGCAAATATTTGGCAGCCCCTATCTCGAAAAACCTTCCACAAAAATAGGACTGGTGGAGTGGCTCAAGGTGAAGGCCCTGAGTTCAAGCCCCAGTACTGCAAAAAACAAAAACAAAAAAACTGTCCAACTTCTTTCCTATTCCATTTTGAACTCCCAAACAAACATAAGTAATGGAGCAATCTTTTTCTCTGCATCTTCCCCAGTTTTTGGTATTTGAAATAATCCCCCTCCCCCTCCCTCCCAGCCGTCCTTAGTTTGATTTAGGGCTTTGCATCTACCACTTGAGCCATGCCTCCAATTGTTGAAGCATAATCTGAACACACACTGTCAACCGATGACAGTACACACACTTCCAATCAAGTACACAATACACAAAGCAAAGATTCTGACAATTCAATTACAACACAACTAAGGCTGAATAATTCATCTCATACTTGCACAGGATGGGAAAAACATCTTCATTTCAAGAATCTATGGAAGATTTATAAAAATTGATCATACCATCCTAAAATAAATATTAAAACGAGTTTAAATAGCAATAAATCATCTCGACGGTATAAACACTTATCAATAATTATCGCTTCGGATCAAAGAATTTTTAAAACTTAAAGGCCATGTTCAAAATAATGAAAATAAAAGTTTCATGCAACTACAGACTCATAGGCTGAACTGTTTTTATTATTATAAGAGGATAAAGGGAAAAGAATTTCCAAGGGAAACATAAAAAGGCATTAAAGATAACCAAAGATTGTGACTGTCCTTTATTTCCCCTCTCCAGGTGAAGACAGCTTTTAGAGGGCCATGTTCTTAATCACCCCCCTGAATTTTTATCCTGAGTGTAAACAGCACCGTGCTCCGCTCATAAAATGCGCAGGATAAATTCTGGGAAGCACGTTGACATTTCCCGTCGTTAGCTCTTTTATTCTGTGGACTTCCACAGTGTACAGGCTGTTCACGTTGTAGCATTTATTATAGTATTGGAATGGCAGTTTTTCCACATCACCCCAGTCCTTTAAAACAAGCATTTGTTAACCATTTAGAATGTGCAGGATATTGTTTTCAGGAATTGAGGTCCAGAAAGGTTAAGTGGCCAGTTCATTACAAAGTCAGGATCTGGGCACAGATCTGTCTACTTTTAAATACAGTATAAACTCCATCTACCGCCACAAGTTACTTTAAACCCAAGAACAACTTTTTGGTGGCACAGGGGTTTGAACTCAAGGTTTACACTTGCTAGGCAGCCCTCAACCACTTGAGCCACTGCGCCAGCCCTGTTTTGTGTTGGGTATTTTCCAGATAGGGTCTGGAGAACTATTTCCCCAGTTTGCCCAGGCTGGCTTCCAACCGCGATCCTCCTGATCTCTGCTTCCGGAATAGCTAGGATTACAGGAGTTAAACACCGGCGCCCGGCTTCAAGAACGATTTTTTTTTTTTCACTTTTTAATCCTCAGCTCCTAGCGTAGCTGCTGACACAGAGTATCTCATACAAGTTAGGCATTGCTTGTCTCCTGTTTGCTTTTGTGAACTGTAAGAGAGACACGCTAACTAAAAGCCCACGAAAGAGATATGGAGACACTCGCAAAAACTTGGAGGACTAAGCTTTTTCCTTGACTTCCATCTCTATGGTTGGAGAGTGACTACTCTATACTCTGGAGGACTTAATAAGCCCGACCAATCATCAAACCACTTTACACATTTGTACCCGGAGGTTTGGCTTACTATTGGTCAATGCACGTACGGTCCGCCCAACAACTTCCGGTGTCCTCCTTTAAGTAAAGGACACGCCGGTCCTCCTGCCTTTCACAACGGCAGTGTCAAGAAGGTAAAGGGTGTTCCTTCGCTGGGCAGGCTCGGGAGCTGGATGGGAGGCTGGCAGTGATGACTTTCCAATTAGTGCACGCGTTAGACTGCTGATGCGGATGATGCATACTGTAGACTGAGCCCACCACGGCGGCGGCGGGGAGGTGAGAGGGCTAGCGTGACACTTGGCTCAAGCGTCTCTGTTGTTCTTGCAGATCCTGTCTTGCCAAGGACGTCAGACCTCACTGCCTTCCCAGCAGTTTTGCAACCCTTTCCCACGTCCGAACATCTCAATAAAATGATTTAATCTCCACCCCGATGTCGGTGTGTGTGTGTGTGTGTTTATGTGTGAGTGACGCGCTGCCTTTGAGCCCCCGTCGCGCCTGCGCGTAGCGCCGGGGGTTAAGCTGCAGTGCCAGAGCACGTGCTCGCGCATAACTGGGGCCGCCTGCCGATCGTGGGCGGTCCTTTTAACCGCGAGCGACAGGGTCAAGACCCACATTAACTCCTGGGTACTGGAGGGGGTAGGCAGTTTTCGGGAGGATGCCCCTAGAATTTAAAAGAGGTCGGCAGGTATAGCAGGGGCTCCGCTGTGTGGTGAGTGCAACCACACGCCACTTCCCAAATTGCCTGCCACACCTTATGCCATAACCCTAAATGCCAAACTGTCCTTTTCCGATCAGTGAGATGTGCTGATATAGTTAAACGCGAGGTGGGGAGGGAAGACTTAAATTTAATACGTGCTGACTTGGGCCTGGAGCTGCATGACTTACCTAATAGTCGCGACCTAATTACTAAAACCATGTAAACTGCTTGTTTAGGTATGGTGACATGCATAAGTCTACAGCTTTAGGCAAACCCAACTGTCCTAATTAGCATAGACAGCTCACAATTACAGGGTGGGCCCAACATAAGCACTTAAATACACAATCACTTCACAATTAGCTTCTGCGGTTGAAAGATCTTAAAAAGTTTGGGTTTAATGTGCACAAGTATGTGTGTCGGGGCCGGGGGGGGGGGTGTCCTCACTATTTGCATCTCTGAAGGCCCCAAATTAACAGGATTACTAGGTTCTGGAGCACAACTGCCCTGGCTCCTAAAATGAACTCTTTTAACTCAGACCATGGACTAAGGAGGAAAATGGCACTTTCCTCATGGTGTGGTGAGACCTGCATGGGAGGCAATTGCTTTGGACAGCATACCAAAATAATCACTCATCTTAACTGCGACATAATGGAATTGAAGCATCAGGGAAGCAGATCTCAAAACACCAGTTTTTCCTGAATTTCCTGAGTCAGCACAATAAAGTCCTCTCTGCTTTAACCTTTCCGAAAAGTAACCTGATGCCAGCCTGTTTTCCGTTTCTAACCTTGTAACAAGCAGGTGGAACTCTGTTTTTTGTAGAATGGAAGCTGCCTCAGTCACAAGCCCAATTAGGTCCAATTATTTTGTAATTTTGTCTTGACATAAGGATTGGTCCACAGTGACCACCCAGTAAATGAAAGCTGCTCATGCCAGAAGAGGGCAGGCCCATGTGGCCTGCATTCACTGTTTATCCTGATCCTGTCTAAATGATTTACTAGAAATAACTTAGATGCTTATCTAGTGTTTGACATGAGATTTATTTTGTGAAACAATGCAAGTGATTGTAAGTCCCCACATACTGTTCGATTAAGTGCAATAGTGTACAGGCGTGCAATTTCTTCACAGTAGTGCATCTAGTCCTTTGCACAAAGTTATTGCACAAAGATTGTTAAAGACCAGTGAATAAGACGTGAGCTCTGACAGACAAATCTGCCTACATGGTGAGAAATTAGAACAAAATACTGACTGGAATGGTCAAATAATTTAAGTCAAATGTTTTAATGATGCAATTAATCAAATAAGGGTTCAAATATATCTTTTCAATATATTAATTTCTTTAAAGTTATGTTCAGGCAAGGAAGGTGCTGTTTAAGAAACCACTATTAGCTTTGTCCACAGATGTTATCGAAAGTTACCCAAGGTAATTTTGACATTGAATGCAGCTTTAAACAATAAAATTTTGTATCAATTTTACTTCCAAAAGTAAATTATACAATTAGCCCCAAACTTGTAAACTAAACATTCTGACACAAATGCACAAAATTAAATTGGCAACATTTAAAAAAAAAGTCATGTGTCTTATTTTGAAATATGTAGTGTTTGATGTTGAACAAACTTTTGGTCTTGAAATAGAGAGCAGTTCTCTGTTTTGGCTTTCAGAACAAAAAACTGCCCACAAAATGATTCCAAACCAAGTAGATTAACAAAGTAAAACTGCCCACAAAATGATTCCAAACCAAGTAGATTAACAAAGTATTCAGATTCCCATATGTAGCTTCCAGGAGTGCTCAAGAGATGTCAAATGGTAAGATTTTGGCCCTGGCTTTCTGGCCCTACCAGGGAGGAACAATCGGTCATTGTATGCAGTGTTTGATGCCACATATATCTTAAGAAAAAAATCAGGATTAATTAGAGGCAAGGTGATTGTACCTCACTGGTAAAAGGGATGGTTTGATCTCATGGCTTTGCTTAATGTTCACATAAATCCCACTGTCCCCACCCCAGCTGAAAGTGTGTTAGTGTATGTGTGTGTTCTATGGCTACTTGCTTCCAAAATGCACAATTTAATATGAAAAAAAGTTACTATTCCTATCTTTTTACCACCAATGAAATGGCTCACAAAATTCCACCTCCACACACATTACCACATTGACATTTTCAGAGTGTGGAGGGCTGCAATCATGTACAAAGTATAGAGTGAAAAAATGTTCCATTGTGCACCAGCTGCCTGAGGAAAAGCATTGGAGGAGTGGAGGAGGCAAGGCGGAAGCTTTCCAGTTGTACAGCTTTGCTCTGAATGTGCTCATCTGCTGCCACAAAAACTGGTAGACTTAAAAAAGTCATGGTATAAGTCACTTGTAACTTTTGGCTCCACCGGTATGATTCTTGCAGTCTCCTTTGCCGGTCAAAGCTTTGTAGCAGACAATCCAGACACCTGTCATTGGATGCAGGGAATGACACCTCACAGTGGAATGGACACCGGCAGGCAGGGGGCAGAAGCAGTCTTAAGAGACAGTGGCTGTGGCACAAGTAAAGGCCAGTGCCACCACACAGATGGCAGCCATGAACTCCACACCTCAAGCTAGGTCTCATAATACTGGGAACATCCCGTCTTCACCCCTCACAGCTGGTCAGTAGCCTCCAAAGATGGGTCTTTCAGGAGGCAGGAAGTAGAGCGAGGGTCCATGGCTGAGTGCATTATAGGGATATAAACATCATCCATATTTGGCATGACAAAAACTTTCTGTAGGGAGATATTAAAAAATAGCCATGTGGAAGAATGCTTTGTAGGCTGTCACCCTCCTTATATATGAAAGTTTTCCCTACATATTCTAAACTAATTCCTCCACCATGCTTGAATTTAGGAAGAGTTGCCAAATCATACTAGTGCATGAGTACTAGAAGAACCCAGTTCATCACCTCTGAGATCTTGATTTCATATACAAATAAAATTACTCATATGAAGTGATAAATATTCAACATTAATTTAGGAGAATTGGCTTAGTTGCTGACAGTTTTTCCAAATGCCCAGAACACATAGTCTAAGTTAATTTATCCCTTTAAATCTTAGTGACAAAACATAAGCTAATTTTTTTTTTACATCAAAACCACAAACCTACAATAAAAGAAATTCTGTAATGAACACCCAAAGGATAATCAGTGATTGATAGTGATGGTGCTTATTTATCTGTTTATAAAATGACTTCATATATGAATTTTGGCAATGCATTTTTTTTTAATTTAAATTTATTTATTTATTGGCAGTGCTAGGGTTTGAACTCAGGGCCTCATCTTGCTAGGCAGGTGCTCTACCACTTGAGCCACTCTATAAGCGCATTTAATCTTTAGCAACACGCTTTCAAAAACATACATGAATTTAAGCAGGGCACCATGTGAGGGTACAGCAGTTATACTTCAACTTTCCAACTTGTCTCAAAAGTACCAGGCATAAATCCTTGCTCCTTCTTCCTTCTTTTGCTCCTTATAGCCCAAGATCCCTAAAAGGGATGAACCACCCAAATTCTACATAGTGAGTTCTAGGCCACCTTGAGCTACATAGTGAAATCCTGTCTCAAAAGAGCGAGGGAGAGGGAGAAAAAACCAGAATGTATGAGGTTCTTCCTCTAGCTAGTTTCAAAGTACTTTTCCATTTGGTAATAATAGTAAGCTTTTTTCAGAAATTGGTTATCAGTTACATTCAATCTCTAGCTTTTAAATAATAATGTGACTTTTAAAGAACAGTGACAAAATATACTGTAAAAAGAACCTAAGTATTCTTAAAAAGGTCAAATTCATCACTAAGTAAATAAATTATGAGCTAATCCATAAACCTTGAAAGACAGCTATGCTTCAAATATCTGATCAAGGCATAGGGATGTAGCTCTGGCAGAATGACTGCCTTGGGTTTAATTCCCAGCACTGCAAAACAAAACAAAGCAAACATCTGATTAAAATGTGATGGAAATAGCTCATCTCAGGGGCCTCAGCTATACTGCTATTACCTTTGGTAGAAGAATGCAGTCAACAAACAGGTTTTAGAAGAGCTCTGAATATATTAGAAGATATTCAGAGGAGGCCTGATTCATCTTGGACTCTCAGAATAGTTGGCTCCTGGCACATGGAAGGGTTTCCATGAATGGTGAACTAAACAGACTGAGTGGACAGGGAGCAACTTCCCTGACTGCAGGCTTAGTACTACTAGCTGGCCAATTCCAGACTTCATGTGGGGAAAAACAAAGCCCGGAGAGTCTCCACAGGCTTACAGGTACAAGGCATCATCTTTTGCTCTGTCACATACCTTGTGGGTTTCATTGAAGACTACTTAGTAATGTTCTGTGGATATGTTTCAGGGCTTTTGACATGTACCTAAAGTTTTATGTCTCAGTTTGATCATGTTGTTCTCTCCTGGGATGAATGTCCATCCATGGCTTTCACTGGAGTCTCAAAAGAGCACCTTGTCCCAAATGAAGTCAAGACCTCTGTTCTACCCAGAGTTTTTATACTCGGTGTGAAACACTGGATAACACTACAGGTTTACCTGAAACTCTTGCTCCAGTTTCTTTTCTATCCAGTCTGTCACGTGAACTAAAGTCACTTCTCTCTCTCCAAGTTTTGGCCGAGCTTTCAGCTCCACATATGGTGGCTTCCGGAAACCATACCTTTCGGAAGAAAATATCCACACTTAGAAGTAAAGAAAGAAGTAGACAGGCAATGGCGCAAATGCTCTCATTTACATGAGAGTAACATTTACCTAAAATGTTCTCTATTTTTAAAATCCTCTCTAAATTTAATTAAGCACAGCAAGAGTGAGTTGTGAACTCCCTGTGCTCCCTGGACAGTGTTAGTGGTATGATGGATTTAGACCAGTTCTGAGAAACTCGGAAAGTCAAGAGGTTTTGCAAGAAAAGGCTATGCAATAAAGGAAATGTGAATTAAAACCATACTAAGATTCCACCTCACCCCTGTTAGAATAGCCATCATTAGCAACACCACTAATAACAGGTGTTGGTGAGGATGCGGGGGGAAAAAGGAACCCTCTTACACTGCTGGTGGGAATATAAACTAGTACAACCACTCTGGAAAAAAATTTGGAGGCTACTTAAAAAGCTAAACATTGATCTACCATATGATCCAGCAATACCACTCTTGGGGATATACCCAAAAGACTGTGACACAGGTTACTCCAGAGGCACCTGCACACCCATGTTTATTGCAACACTATTCACAACAGCCAAGTTATGGAAACAACCAAGATGCCCCACTACTGACGAATGGATCAAGAAAATGTGGTATTATACACAATGGAATTTTATGCAGCCATGAAGAAGAATGAAATGTTATCATTTGCAAGTAAATGGATGCAACTGGAGAACATGATTCTGAGTGAGGTTAGCCTGGCCCAAAAGACCAAAAATCGTATGTTCTCCCTCATATGTGGACATTAGATCAAGGGCAAACACAACAAGGGGATTGGACTTTAAGCACATGATAAAAGCGAGAGCACACAAGGAAGGGGTGAGGATAGGTAAAACACCCAAAAAACTAGACAGCATTTGTTGCCCTCAATGCAGAGAAACTAAAGCAGATACTTTAAAGCAGCTGAGGCCAATAGGAGAAGGAGATCAGGAACTAGAGAAAAGGTTAGTTCAAGAAGAATTAACTTAGAACGTAACACACATGCACAGGAAATTAATGTGAGTCAACTACCTGTATAGCTGTCCTTATCTCAAACTAGCAAAAACCCTTGGTCCTTTCTATTATTGCTTATACTCTCTCTTCAACAAAACTAGAGATAAGGGCAAAATAGTTTCTGCCTGGGTAGCAAGGGGGTAGGGGGGGAAGGGGGGAAGGGAGGAGGTAGGGGGGGAAGGGGGGAGAAATGACCCAAACATTGTATGCACATATGAATATAATAAAAAAAGAAAAAATAAAAATGTTTATATCCCACCATGAAAAAAAGAAATAAAAAAATAAAAAACCATTTCCTAACTCGAAAAAAAAATAAATAAAATGTCCACATATAAAAATCCATTTTCTTTAACCTCTTGGCTGTAAGCCTAATTTTATCAGCAGAGAAAGTTAAGGTCAGAATGTTTTCAAAGACTTATTGTATATAGCATTTTAGAATAATAATTATGATGGGCAGCATTAATTAGCACTATATTTTGGTATAAAAAGATAACATTGTATTAACAAATTTTTCTTTTTAAAAAAAAAAAAGAAAAGGCTATGATCTAGGCATTAATTTCTGGTTTACCCATGAGAGGACCACTGAGAGAAGTGGGATCAATCTTCCTCACGCTCTCCTAAGCCTGTGTAAACAGAGAATGTTCTATGACCTGTTTTTCTCCCTGCACTATATACCAGGCTTTTTGTGGTTTCCCACTGGAGCTGACTAGCACTCCAAGTTGTAGTGTCCAGACAAGATGGGCATGGTGGTGCACAAATATACTTCCAGCACTATGGAGGCTGAGGCAGGAGGACCGAGAGTTTGAGGCCAGCCTGGGTTACATGGCAAGACTGTCTCAAAACAGAAAAAAAAAAAAAAAGTGTCTAGACAACAAGACAAGATACTGAGTGCTATCAAAGTACCTAAAAACTTAATCAGTCATGGACCAATGTTCTGGAAACACAATAAAAATGTTCAAATGCTACAAATGTTTTTTTATTTTTATTTTATTCATATGTGCACTACAAATGTTTCTAAGTGCTCCCCAAATCAATAAGCTTTGTAGTTGAACAGCATTTAGTTCAGCATTTGAGCATGCACTGGGATACTTTAACTCTGTCTTCATAAAGCAGGGGTACTTGTTAAATCTAAAGGCTTGGCAGTAAGGAAAGGAAATGTATAGATTTCCTTTGTAGGTCTGGAAGACTACAAAGGATAGTATTAAAAATAATTATTTCTGGATTATAAGATTATGGGCTTTTACTTTTTACTACCTTTTCTTCATACTTGTTTTTCCAATCTCTCACGTTTTTCTTTTTAACCATGAAATGTATTACTTTTAAAAATAAAAACTACAAAGGTGTTTTTTAGTTTTACTGGGAAACACTATCGTCATCATTGAATGGTCAATCAATCAATTTGAAAATACTCTTCCCACCGTTCCTACAAAGCCTCCTGGATACCAAGAGCATGTATAGCATGTTGGTTTCATGCTATGATGAATACAGAACTGTATTTTTGTCATGAGTGTCACTTATGATATGATGAGGTCTCTTATGCGACCAGTACATACACATGCCTATTTTATAGGACTTGGAATGCCAACTTACAGTTGAGATACATAGACAGAGATGCTGGACCCATGAATAATTTATTTTAGTGATTTTAGACCCTGGCTTTAATCAATGCAACTCCACACTAACTGCCAAAAACCTGGGGGTGAGCCAGGCATATCTGTATCTTTAGTGCATTCCATGGGGATTCTAACATGAAGCTGGAGCTCAGAACCAACGCCTCAGATAGACCCCTGGTCTCACTCTGGGGTCTCCCTAGCTCAGTGGACTCTGGATGTGTGATGGGATGACACGGGCACCTACCTCAGCAGAATGCTGGGAGGACTAACCCAATGTTGCAGTTAGAGAATAAGGTAGATGGCAGCTACTATTACTGGTGAAATTTGCCTTCAGAAAGGAGGAAGACCAAGACTAGACACAGCTTATCCCATAAACCTCATCATTCACCTCAACTTTTCAAGTGAACATGGATCTTTAACGGTTCGTGAGCCATCCACACAAGAAAGCACAGTTGGATTAACCACTGACATTAGGGTCCATGAAAATGAAAACCACATGGCAGCCAGCGCTCTTGTTCAAGGTTAAGCAGGCTGGGGTTTTTATGGTTATGCAACGAGGGGAATCCTTGCTGTCCCTGAGGGCCCTTCTACACACCAGATTCGGTCAGTTGGGGGTGGTGGAATGTTGACTGCCAAGGTTCCTCGACATTCTTGTACTTCAACAGTTAGCAGCAGGGGTGTATTGGACACTTCTTCAATCTTCTTTTTAATGAACTCTGTCTCTGCTGCTTTTTGGAAATATTTTGACTTGGTAATTTTATCAACAAATCTCATAATTTTACTTGTTCGATGACCTCCAACATACCTTCAAACGAGGAGCACAGAGGGGTGTTAGGATAAACTTTGCTCTTTAACAAACAAAAACCTCGTGGCTATGCATTCACCTTACTTTACAGCAGTTTCTCAACTGTGGCACTATTAACATTGTAGATTGGCTAATTCTGTGTTGAGAGCCGTCCTGTGCATGGTAGGATGTTTAGCAGCCTCTCTGGCCTCTGCCTACTAGCCGGCAATAGCACTCTCCCCAGTCATGACAATCAAACATGCCTCCAACTGACAAGTGGCCCCTGTGGGGAACTTTAGAGAAGATGTAAATGTCAGACAGAGCCCCCATCTTAACAATGGAGAGCTGGACAAGTCTTTATGTAGAGAAGATACTTCCCCTATATCACTTAAATACAGAATATAGCTCCATGTTTTATTAGAGAACTATCACAACTTCCAAACAGCAAATGGCAAAACATACCACATCAATAGGTACAAAAACAGTGATTGACTGCCTGCCTTTAGGTGGTTGTCATACCAACTCTGAGTGGCAAGTTCTCTTTGAAAGTACTTTTCAAAGAGCTTAGAACTTTTCTTTCCTTCTTTTTTGGGTTTGGAACTTCTCAAAGCAAAATGCTGTATCAAGCAGACATAATTAGCCATTCAAGAAAATAAACTTTTGTGTCAGGTCATATCTAATATTTACCCTAAGAAGAAAGGTTATCTGCTTTTTTGAATCCTCTCCAGTTCCAGAGCATCAGGAGCAGTATGTGGATAGGTAATACAATCTTTTTTTTTTTTTTTTGGTGGCACTGGGGATTGAACCCAGGGACTTGTGTGTGTTGGGTGGGGGGGTAGGCAAGAAACTCTACCACTGAGCTATACTCCAGCTCTAAACAACCATTCTTATGAAGGTCAAGCAGCTAGATTTTATAATAACACCCAACTGCTCAAATGTCTGAGTTTTTATCTTCTGTGCAATTTCAAAGTGACCAGGTTGATATCTTCTTATAGAAGTTTCTGAATCACCTAGCTTCTTCATAATCTCAGTTTCCTTAGCCCTCTTTAAATAATTCAAAGATCCTTACAAAGAGGTTGCTTAAGAACTCTGATCATTCATTGTCCAAGTAACTGCCCTTAAATGCAGTTCTGGATCAAAAGCAGCTAAACTAGCAGGTTTTCAAAATCCACCAAAGAGATCATGTGACTGCTTCAGCTCTGCAGGAGCCAGCAGCTCCGGCAGGAAAGATGGCAATCTCTCCACCAGCCAGCAGGGGGAGGTGGTGTGCAGAGCAGGGTGTGCTCAGAATAAGCATGCCCTGCAACTTCCCTATTGTTTACCAGCAGGGCAGGAGAAAGGCATGCTTCCTCTTAAGGAAGCAAAGCTATCCAAGTCTTTTCTTTTGGGGGCCTGGAATTTAAATAAGCCACGGATACTGGCTGTTAATGCAGAAACCATTCACTCACTGGGGAGGCAGAAGGAAGATCAGAGAGGAAGGGGGAAAGGCTCACTCTCAGTTAGCTTGCTGTCCTGACCCTGGAGCCTCCAGAAGCTCCGATCCACTCACCCCTCGGCTCCTGGGAGCAGTGGTTTGTCTCCGGCACTGGGCTCTGGTGCATCGTCTTCCTCAGATGAGCCAGCACTGGAGGATTCCTCATCACTGTCAGCCAGACAGTAGGCCCTGGGCCTGCAACTGAATGGGGACAAAGTCACCATGTGGCTTGCCCACTGTTAAGAGCTCTGCTAAGAAAAGCACACATGCATGCACACACTCAATCACAAGGGGTCAACATGGAACCTTTACCACATGTTGCCATTGTCTCCAACCCACCAAGAAAGAAGAAGCCTGATCCAAGAGTGTTTGGACCAGCCTTCCTTACCCGGAAGACTCTAGTGCTAAGTCCCCTGGCAGGACTGCAAAGGACTTGAGCCATGAAAAGTTTGTTTTGAGCATGCATCAGAACATCACCTAAAATGGAGCCACATAAAATGCAGTGATTTCATCATGAGTGCAGCAGGAACCACGTGGGAACATGAATGGAAAAAATGGATGGCTGCAGGGGTGCAGTGGCAGCTGTTGGTGACATGGCCATCTCTCATCAATGATGAAGGTAGGCAGGCAAGTCCCTTGCCTCTGGTGGAGTTAATAATTGTGATGATTCTTGGCTTAGTTACCCCCAAATTCATTTTTAATCAAGACTCCTTCCTAGGGAAATTACATATCTGATTCCACACAGGCTGAATGTCTTGAGTGTCACAGAGAAAGTCAACAACCATGAGAAAATAACTGACATTAGTATCTACAGACTTTCAGAAAAACACAAATTTTAAGGCCAGTCTTTTTACTAAAGTAACAGAAGGCCTCATTAGAGAATGCCATCCACATTACCCTCAGCAGGTTAGAGACTCAATTTTCAGAGGTGTGAGGCTTGCTGGATCACTAGAAGAGGTGATGGATCAAGGTTTCCCTCTGAGGAGGTCTGGGAGCTTTTTGGCTGAGCTTCAGCCCCACCACAGGCAGCTCCCTCTCTGAACTGGCTCTGTGCTGGCAGGGCCCTGTCTCAGAGGCTCAGGGACTTAAATAGGAATGAAATAAACAAAGGACGTAGCAATCTCTGAATGTTATTAAGCGACCGAATAGTCACTAAACAGACGCTGAGTCTTCTATTACTGACAAGGGCAAAACTACTCAGCCAGGGGAAAGCCACAGAGCCAAGACCCAATGTCCCTGCAGCTGCAGTCTTTTGGTTTTCCTCTGATACCTCCTTGGACAACCAGAAGTCCACAGGGGCATTGTCTCCTGGCTAATGGAGGCCAAGGGCAGAACATTCACACCAGCATGACCTGAAGGCCCAGCAGCATAGCACCATGTGCAGGAGGGCAGGATTAAAGCCTCTGTCCCTGAAACAGGAGCCCAGCTGCAGTAAGAGGATCTCACAAGAGTCCCCCCGGCAGGACATGCAGATCCTGTTCAACCCTGGCTCTGAAGGCTCTGAAATGTTAAAGCCAGTGCAAGCTGGACTTTCACGATAAAGGAAAGCGTCCTCCGCAGAACAGAAGCTTCTCATCCCGGGCAGCACCTGGCTATCTCTAGTTCCCTGTTCCATAATGGGCCTGGCTAGTCCAGGAAGTGCTTCTGTGTACTTGTTGCTCACACAGCCATTTCAGAGGTTTTGTGGTTCAGCTACCTTCCTTGTGATTCCCAAGAAAGCCTGAACTGGATCTTGGGATAAGAAAGTAAGAGATGTAAATTACCAAAGATTACACAACTGTCCTACTTCTCCATCAGTAAAACGGCTGTGCTTTCTGCTCAGACCTCATGCTGCCAAGAGTGGAAGCTGTCCCAATAGCACAGGGCCTGCTTCTTTCCACACAGCACAAAGGGCTGTCTGCAAGATCTGGGATCACAGTGAGATCTGCTGTGCCCCCACCCCTCATGTCCCCAGCAGTATGTGTCACCTGGTAGCTCCACACCATGGGCAGAAGGTGACAAGGGCAGTGAGCTCTCAGGTTCCCAAACTAATCCTCTGCAGGCCAGAGCAGGATGAATTTGTGGCTTGAAGTGAATAATTTACATAATGCTATATGAATTAAAGCATATCAGATGATGTGAAATTCTGATTCTGACCAAGTGGTACCTCTACTGTCTGTACTGGGACCTGTATTCTATGGTATCCAACACTAATTGTGTGGCTAAATGTTTGGCAGATACTTAGTTTTTATAACTGAACATGCATTTTATGATCTTGGCTTTATGAAATCAGAAAAAACTTCAGAAAAAAAATTAAAAAGCAGCAAACATGCTGGGGTGAAGATGTGCTGGGATGTGATGGCTCTGATGGCTTTGTATCCACCTCAGAAATCCAGATGAATGTGCCTCTCAGACAACTGCCTGAACAGACTTATCATGGCTATGCTGTCTCTCCTAAAAATCTTTTTGGAAATGTGTCTGGAGTCACACACAGAAAAAGTGAATTTTTTTTTTTTTTTTACGAATCACTGATACTGTCTTAGACTGAATGTTTTATTTCTTGGTTTCATAATCACCATTACCTCTGGCAACTTCTAGCCATTCCTAAAACCATCTACAGAGAAGGATAATTTGCTGTTACTCAGGATGGTTAAAAAATGTCAGATTCTAGAGGCAATTCTAAAAAGAAACTCCAATAAATGCTTTAACTGAAGTGTGCATAGCTGGATTCAACAGCCCTCTGAGGGGACCAGACTCATAAGAATGTACTAAATTTATTTTATTTTAGAGAAGCCAGTCCCATACATCTGCCATAGACCCATGTACATCCACAAATGAGACTGAGTCACAGTGTAAAGTGCAAGCACTCGACTTCTAGTATGACAGGGACCTGAGAGTAAAAAGGATGATATAATGGACTATTGAGACTAGTGACTCAATATGGATGCCAGAGGGGCCACTACATGGGGACTTGTGCATTGGCCTAAGTCAAGTACCTCCCAGGAATGTCCCACTCTGATGCACTTTTCATTTAAAGGCTCTTCCCAACATGTAGAACATTTTCTTTTCTGACTTATTCAGGTTCTCTTCAGGTCCTTTCCCCCTAACATTCAGACTGCTCAGCTCACTACCTGATTAACTGATTCTATTTTTTTCTTGCAATGCTAGAGACTGTATCTATGCCTCTCATGCTAGGCAAGTGCTCTACCACTGGGCTGTATCCTCAGCCCGTGAACTCCATTTTGAGTACTTTATTGTACAAAAGAGAATTGACTACAGTATGTGACAAGACAATGTGAGAAAGAAAAAACCTAGAGGAAAAATGCCTATAAATATACAGTAGACGTGCATTTCAAAGATAAGGGACTTCAGGAGAGTAAAGCGACACAGATTCAGTTTCTCTATCTCACCATAAGGGTGCTGCCATGACCACCCTTCTTGTTAGAAAAGGGGACTTCTTACAGGCTGAGCAGTATCTCTTCATAGACTCTCCAAGAAACAATCATTTGCACTTGAAGGGGGACTGAGAAAAGCAGTGAGATGAAGCAGAGGCCCTGCAAGAGACAGACATTGGGAGCAGGCCCTTACGAGGTCTGGACAGGTGGCCCATGCTGAAGGAGGGCCTGGAGGAAATGGCTGCTGTGGGCCAACTCTACAGACACCCTGCTCCTCTGTATTAAGGAAAATATCAGTGCCGAGTAACAGCTACTATATACTTTGACTTCTGCTTTTCCTCTACTTGGTCCCCAGTGGCTCCACATACTCACATCTGAGGAAGTGAAGAAGTGGATTCTAGAACTGCTTCTGGGAATAGGTTCTTAACCATGGATGGGATTTCAGAGACTTTCAAAGCTCCTAGAAACTGTGAGTCAACTGATGCATGAGGAGGCATTTTCAAGAAGGTTACAAAGTTTGTGGCTTTCCAGAGAGGGGTTCTTTATGCAAAACAAAAGGCCAAAGGTCCATTTTTCTAGCCCATTTTTTCCCCCCAAATGAAGTGTCTTTGGATTATATTCTTCCTTTGCTTTTAAAATTAATGATAGCCAATTACATATCAATATATAACATCCTCACAAGAAGAAGTAAAACATTTTATACCAGACTCTTCCAGGAAAAAAAATGGTACTTTAGAAATAAATTAAATGTAATATCACCACATTTCTAAAGCAGAGGATTTTTTTCAGTTAGTCTATAGAAGCATGGCTTGCTCAGGAATATGTTCATTCTCTGATCAGTCAGAGTTTACGAACATGAAATTGTGCCCAGTCATATAAATAGCAGTGAATATGGAACACTTGAGTGGCAAGGACCTCAGAAACTAGACTTGTTACAACCTGATGTCCAATACCCCCCTTCCTGATGGAGAACCTGCACCTCTGTGCTGGCCCAGGGCTGTTTCCAGAAAATACTTCTGACTAAACACTTCTATCACACACCTTAATTAGTAGACTCATTATTTATTATTATTATTTTATAATGCTAGAGATCAAACTCAGGGCCTTACAGAAACTAGACAAGTGCTCTGCCATTGAGCTACATCCCCACCAGCCCAGAAGACCTCATTTTCAGGACTGCCTCTGCCCCCCCAGTGCTTCATGTCCTAGGCAGCTGGCCCTATAACTCTGCTGTCATGAGGCTGGACTGATGGTATGGGTAGGTGGAGTGTGGGTAGCAAGACAAGAAATTGTATCTGACTACAGGACTAGATCAGGACACTAGTAATTCTAAATGGGGAAGTCCGTGAGATTTTCCCTGCCAGGAAAGCCTTGTCCCTACTCCACTCTCAGTCCTATTGGACCCATGCCCTGTGCCTTCATGTTTGGAAGCAAGATGAAAAGACAGACTTCCTTTTAGCTTCAGGTGGGACCAAATCAGACTCAGCACTCACAAGGTATGGAATGCTACATGGAGTTGATAAGTATCACTCACCAGAAAATACAAATCCACAGATTGCCAAATCCAAACACATTTTAACAAATAGCAGAAAATGAAAGGAAAATAGCAGACACAGATTAGATTGCATACAGCAGGTGAAATTCTCCAATTATTAAAACAGGAACATTTCATTAAGTAACTCAGATAAATCAGGATAATCTAAGCAAAAAAAAAAAAAAAAAAGTCCTTGAGGGTATAACCCAACTGCCCAAGCTGCTATGACACAAGCATGGATATGGATAAGAACGGTACATCAGTCCATAACTAAGCAAAAATCCAAGAGCCTATGTTTTGTATTTAGACCCTATAGACATCACTCCTTGTGGCATTTCCTCTCATTGTTATTAGTTCCATGCAAGGGACTACAGATTTGAGAAGCAGCATCCTTTAACTTAGTAAAAACTATAATATCATTTAAATGTGTAGTCAGACCCATCACTTTTATGATGTGTGGGAATGTAAAAGTTCTAGCCTATCCATTCTGGATATTTAAGGGAAAAAAAAACAAGCTCCATTAGTTATCCCACAATTTTGGAATAATTCTAAACCAGACAACTCTGGAGCAGATGCATTATCTACAAAGAGAAGAATTTACTAGGCAAATCAATATTGTATTATTTCTGGAAAATGCTTCTCAGAACACTTGTGGAGCACCCTCTCAGCTACAACATCAACTATCTCATAAATAATCCCGCTTGGTGATTAAAGCAGTAGATCCCTAAGAGACCTTAGCCTGCTTCACACATCATTGCTTTTAGAGCAATGATTCGATTTGTGCAGCAAGTAATGTTCAGACAAGTCTGCCTGCTTGCCTCAGTCAGTGATGTTCTCTGGGTAATAGAGATGGTGTCACCTCTGCCAGCACCGGGTCAAAAGGTGCTGTGTACTGTCACAGCTGAGCAAGGGGTACGAACTTGCAGCTCTCTCTGTAGTCCAGAGAACTTACACTGAAGCTTGCTTGTGCTCTGGGGGCTCCCACACTTAGACCTGGTTCTCAAAGGCTGCAGGGAGAGGCTGGTCCCCTGGGATTGGGTTATTAAATTAATATATAGCCCCTTACCCTTCTTTGCCAATTTCTCCAACCTTCAGGGCTTCAACAAGAGGCTCTTTACCTAGTTTGGTCAAATTCATTTTGGTCTCGAGAGTCATCAGAAAGGACCCATTGTAGGACATTTCCAAATTGATCCAGAGTCCTGGAGAAACAGTAAAAAAAAAAAAAAAAAAAAAGTTCCCCCCCCCCAAAAAAAAAACATGGCTATAAGCAACAGTATAAAAACTTGTGTTTTAAATTATCTAAGTTGGCATCACACTATAGTTTACATATGGCTTTTATTACCAATACAGGTGAGAGGAGGGCTGTGAGAGTGCTCTACCATCAATGCACATGAGAAGAGACTGAAATGGTTCACATGTGAGGCAAATGGCCAGCATTGCACTCTGTTATGATGGTCGTGAATTCAGTGCCCTTGTCTACACTGGAAAGGCCCCATGCTCTCTGGCTTCTCCTCCTCCAAGTTAGTAAGAAAATGCATGCTCAGAAAGAAGTGACTTGACCCAGGGCACAGCCAGGATGGGCTGCTAATGGTCTGCCAGTCATGAGGCAGAAGGGAAGTGCAGAAATTTCACTTTGAGTTGGATGGTCCTAAAAGACACATCAGAGAACCACTCTTTCCTAAAATTACCAGTATTTGGAAGGAGGGCAGGAACATGGGTCAGATTTAGTTTAAGAATAGTGGCATAAACTTTTAAAACCCCATTTTTCTAGTAGTGGAAAGAAAGGCCTTTAAATTCCCAGGATTATCCAGGTAAAGTTGGGGACTACAGCAGCTGAGTTTAAAAATCTATTCCTTAGAAAGATGCTATTGCCAATGAGTTCATATCAAAGAGGCTGTTGGCCTCGTGGAACTTCCCTGGGATGGCCTCTGGCCAGTGTCTAAAATGCAAACAGAGATTCTCTCATGATGGGGCAGATAAGACAGGTTATGCTGTGTTCTTTCAGATTCAGAGCTCCATAATACCTGGTGGATTTTTAATCAAAATGTGATCCTTGCAAGTGGTCATTTAAATGTTAATAAACTTTTATAGATCCTCATAAGACAAATGACAACATCTAAAAGAAAGCAGGAAATTAGTCTAAAACCATTATTTATACACAGTAGCATTTTCAATTACAGTAAATAACCCTTCCCCTACAAGGCCACCCCTCAGATAAAAGCATTGTTTAAACCCAAAAAACACTAATGATGTAATTCCTCAGTATAGGCAGAATCATTTCCAACTTGTTTTCAACAAATTTTTTTTGTTGTACTTTAAGGTGATTATTTCCCATGAAAGACTTGGTTTAATTAAGTGATATGCAGATCATCCGTGACTGTCTTCTTTGCAGGAACACTCATAAAACTGCTTTACTTCCTGCTTACATTAAGCAGTTAAAAATCATTAATTACCTTACTCTTCAAAATACTATTACTGGAAATAAAGGGAATGTCTGCTTCAGTAAAGACATTTAGTCATTAATCACTTCCAGTGGAAAGGGAATTAGGGACTAGATATTAATTGAAACTCAATATAAAAAGATCAGTAAAGAAGATATTTATCTAGCTTTTTTAAATTTGAGAAGTAACAAATCCAAACTACCTAGTTACTATATGTATCCAAACAGAATCATTTCTTTTGAAAATCCTGGCCAGGTTTTCAATAAGTATTAACAGTATTCATTGCCTTTGAAAGTTGTAAAGGCACCAGAATTTTACTTCTTCCAAAATGGAGGGTTTTTTTTTTTTTTTTTTCCTAAATGAGAGACTTAGTAAATTGCTGGCTTAGGACCCAGTCGCTGGGATGTTCTACCCATGGGGTATGGTTTAGGGAAAAGCATGGAGCCCAGTGGATGTGGCTTAAGTTGCACTAGCAGTTTCTTTATTTCTGTGCATCACTTTCCTCATTCACACAAGAGAGATCACACTGCTTCTTTGGGGAAGGCTGTGTATAGTCAGAACCTGGCACATCCTGGCCAGGTGGCTTCTCTTTCTTCACAGTGGCCAGCCCACTCTTTATCCTTGCTCTGGCCTCACCTACTGCTATTGCCACGGAAAAGACTTTGCTGGGCAGCTGGAGGCTTGGGCAGTTAGGATATCACCTGGACATGTAAACAGCCCTCTGCATTGGGGAGGGGTGTGGACATTGCTCATCACTGACACCAAGAAAAAATAATACAGTCAAGAATGGCTTGAGAACTTTTAAAAACAGATATGAACTTCAAATAAATATTTCAACAAGTTAATAAGATATGCTTGTACTGACATGATAATATTTTAGCATTAGGTGCAAAACTTGCTTTATGATAATAATTCAGCAGGCAAAAAACTCTCTGAAGTCTTGGAACATGCACAACTTGTGCAACTTGGAACAGAGACCAAGTAGTTATGTACTGGGCAGGTCAGGAGGCACCCTGCCCTGCAGGGTTGGAAGATTAAATAGTTACCAGAAGGCTGTTTCCCCTTTGAGGAATGTATGAATGCACTCAAATGTGAAGAAGATGGGGACATACAATGTTCCATCAGCAACATCTTAACTTGAACACAGCTAAATGCTGTTACTTTACATGAACGTAGTTATGGATGTTTTTCTTTTGTACACTTGACAAAGGTCAGAGTGTGCTGAGGCATTTCATCTGCTTTCATTTGATCTATTAAGGATTTTTTCAGTACTAAGGACAAAAACCAAAAATCAAGAAGCAGGACAATTTTTAACAGCTTTAAGCAGGAGTAAGGAGTTGTCCCTGAGAGGTTCTCAGAAAAGGGGGCTGGTGGCATGACTGTGAAGGGGCTCCTCCACACAGGGTGCTCATGTTGAGGAATGGTGCCACCTGCTTATCAATGAGCCCCTATAAATCTGGTACTTTTATTCAGCCACACATGAAACAGTATTGATAATGAACACCAACAATTTTCATGCAAGGTCCTGCCAAGAGCCTGCTCAGGTGACTGTCTTTCCACACTCAGCTTCATGGGAGTAGAAGCAGTTACTAGCACCATTGCTAAGGGGCACACTAAGGCAGAAATGACAGCTTATTCCACCCAAAGTGCTTACTGACCTCTTATGGCACCATATCAGAACTGAAGAGACCAAGAAGAACCCCTGCCCTTAGGAAGCACATGCTTAAGAATAAAGATGGCCTCCACCATCTGTCCAGCTCAGACCATGATGCACAAGAGATAATGAATGTGCCTTGCTGCCTGTCCCCAGAGACAAGAGGGAGCCATGAACAGAACAGATTTTCTTCTGCCTTCTCCAGAGTTTCTAGTTGGCAAACTCATGGCCTTGGTAACTGTCTTACCATGGCCACATAAATCTGGTGCTATCACACTACAGCTCCCTCCCTTATTTATTACCATAAAAGCATCTGTCACCGGGCGCTGGTGGCTCACGATATAATCTAAATGACTAGAGGCAGAGATCAGGAGGCTCGGAGGTTGCAGTTAGGGATGGACATGCCATGACCTGAGTCTGGCTCCAGTTTTCTGCAATACTAATTTCAAGTCCCAGCACTGGATAAAGGAACTCGTGTGTAAAGATGGGTATCTACAGGCATCTCTGGAGACAGACAAATTTCCCATTCCCATGGGACATGGTGATTTTTTCACAGAATATGAGACCTTCAGTCAAAACTGGGCTGTTATTTGGGTCTCTTGGAACAGGACAAAACAGTCCAGCACTCTATTCATAGGGACAATCAGTAACTCTTTTCAGAATTAACTACTTGTAGCAAAAGTCCATGAATCAATTGCTCTGATACCTCTTGTTCCAGGCACAGAAGGTGACATCCTGAAAAGGGTTCTCACCAAATCCATTTTGGAAGCTTCACTAACAAGAAAGCTTTGCTGCAGCAGCAGCAGTGACACCAATGGCTAGCTGTGTGCTACGTGTGTTCTAGGAGCACTACATATAACATTCAATCTTCACCACAATCGAACAAGGTGGACACTACTGCCATTAGCACTTCATGGATGAGGATGGTAGTAGCTCCTCTACCATGATGTAGGTGCAGGGTCCAGACACAGGGGGCCTGCCTGCAGACCCAATGCTCCTTTGAGCCTCTGACCCAGGCCTAAAAGTTATAGAACAGTATGGAAAGGTGAGACTGCTGATGGCCTCTGGCAAGTCACTTCCACTAGGCTTTAGCTGGTACAAGTATGGCAGGGCTGGATAATCTTTCAAGTCCAAATCACAAATCTATCCCATTCCTTAAGGGTTTTGGAAAACGGGTATATATTCTACATTAATTTTTATCCATAAGAAAAAAGATTAGGAGAGCATGACCAAAAATGTACCCAAAAGCAATCCTGGCTAGTTCTGAAAAAATAACAGGTTGTTTGTCTTTTTACCTTTTCTAGATATTTCAGTTTTCTCACATGAGTATTTGTTGAATGAATGAATGAGCAAACATCACACTAACAGAGTTAAAAAAGCTCAGAAAGAGCTTTGGCCCAGAGGGCTGGTCTGGTGGGCCCCTGAGGGCAGACCCTGGAGACAGAAGCCAGGATGGCTGAGGAGGGTTGGGGAGGCCAGCTGGAGGTAGAAAGAGTAACACCTATGGGAGGGTAACACAGACAGGCTTCTGGGCCTTGCTATGCAGCCACAGGAGAGAAAAGAGTCTTATATACTCTACAGATAGAGGGGCTAGTTCCAGGGTGCATGTGGAGCATGACGGGGCCAGAGCTGAGGCAGGAGGGCACAGCAAACTGTCAAGGGGCGGCCACCTGTTATTGGTGGGAAGTGAGGATGCTGTGTAATTCACCTTCCTCACTAGTTGTGTGTTCTAGAACTTGATTGGTGGGCATACGCAGTCTCATTCAGAGGAACTACAGGCTGTTCCTTTTAGCAGCAAGACTACCAATGCTGAGAGGAACAGTTTTTCTTTCTGCTTATCTGGCAGGATCTGCTGGCTTTGAGCCATAAAATGGTCTACATTCTAAACTCTCCAACAGCAGCATCAAGGACAATAGTAACAGTAGTAAAATAACAATAACTAGTGCTTATAAAGCAACTGCCTTCCATCAGGTGCTGTTCAAACTGCCTTTCATGTACAACTCACATAATCCTCCTGAAACCAGGTGCCCTTTGAGTCTGAATTTGAGAGATAAGGAAGCAAAGAGGCCCAGGAACTTACCGGAAGACACAAGGCTATGAGATGGGTGATTTCACTCCAGAGCCGACACGCAGAACTACGTTCAATGTCGTATTAAGAAGTGCGTTGCTAGGACATATAGTCCAACCAGCTCTGGCCTGAATACCCTTTCTTCTGAGTCATGTCTCAAGTGAGCAATGAGGCATGGGGATCCCATGGGAGGTACCTCTCTTTGGAGACATTAAAGCCTCCTGTGCTTGGGTTGTACTCCCCTGGAAGGTGAGTTCTGCTTTTCAGGATTAGTTTCAGCAAGTTACCCCAGATTTTGATTTCCCTAAATCAAAATCTAAAAGGAGAGGTTCTCCCTTATGGCCATGGAATACAAAACACTGCATGGTAACTTTGGGTCAATGACTGACCACATATGGGATGGTGATCTTGTAAGACTATTATCACATAGTAACCTCATGGCCGTCTTAGTTTGGGTAAGCACACTCTATGATAATTGCATGAGAAAATCAACTAATGACACTTCTCAGAGTGTGTCCCCTGAGAACATTGGGCAACAAGTGACTGCATTCCTTCATGTTCATTTTTGTTTCACCATCATACATGCATCCTTTGTAGACTTGGAAAGACCTAATGAATCAAACTTAATCCCACAGTCTTTGTGTCTTTTTTCCCTTTCTTTGGTAACATTTTCTTTTGTGTTATACAGACAGACAGGCAGATATCTAAAACTTGCCCTGAAAGGAGGTAAGTAGGCTTTAATGGATTAAAAACCAGCAAAGCTTTGATATCCATGTTGAAATGTCTCTCCCCAGCTCCTGTTCCTCAGGCACAGGAAAGAAGCTTGAGACTTGGGTGTCAAATTATCCTCAAAGCTTGACCAAAGCAGCCCTGGGAGGCTGCAGAGTTCAAAGCCACAGGGATACTTCTTAGATGCTGCAAAGCCTGCTGTGGCCCTGCACCCCTCTTCCTGGAAATGTCTATTAGTTCAGCAAAGGACAGTCCTAAGATAAGTGACTGCTAGCACACTAGAAAACAGAGCACATACACATATTATTTACTTTTTAAATTCCTGACTTCTCAGGAGGTTTGTGTGAGCTGATCATTTACCAGCTTGATACCAGTCAATTTTTGAAGAGGTAAAAAGCAAAGGGCAGCAGAAAGTCCGCTTGAGTCGGAGGAAAGAAGGCAGTTTTTGTACACCAATGGGGTGGGGATCCCACTCTGCAGCTAACCGATGACACATGTGCCTTTAATTGTGCATGGGGCTAAAAGAACTCTAGCTAAATCACTTAGAAAGAGTACAAATCTTTTCTAGTTTTACTTTCAGTGAACCAGAAATGACCAAAGTCAGGAGCACTCAAATTCATCAAGATGTAGACAATGATGGATTATAAGGGATCTCAACATGCAGGGATCAGGGGGACTTCTTGATTTGCAAATACTCTGGTCTAGTTTTGAAACCAGTGCAATGCTGAAAACGTGGAGATATGGATGCCTTGCCATCTGAAATATTGCTTGAGAGATTTTCAGAGCTGCTAACTGTAGTATAGAAAAACCTCTTCATATTTATATCAAATATAAGAGCAGAAAAATGATCTCACTAAATATGATTCAAGAGCCATCTGATATAGATACAAAGACAGAAAAGTCACTTCTGTACCTTATAGATTCTATAAAACACTGACTTCAAAGTAAATATTTTTGTATTTGAAAAGAGACCTATATTTATTTTTCCCCATCTTGTTCCAGGGCCATTTTGGGCATAATGTAAATATGATTTAAGTGGAAAGAAGCTCATTGGCAAGAGATGCTAGAGTAAAGAGATTGGTGAAACTTCTTTGCATGCCCAAAAGGCATGCCTACCTGGCCCACTCCTCTTTTTTTACTAAATTGTATGCTAAAATTTTGCTGTTAAGCTCCTTTTAAAACCACGTAACATAAAAGACATATAAATCTTTATACCATCCTCATAATTCTATTTACATTTTCTGCATATTTTAATTAACTTTTTCCTTCGTCACAGGAGTAGGCATAAATTCTGTATCAGTAGCATGTTCAAAAATTCAAATCCTAGAGCTCTCACCAGTAGACAGCTTTATGCTCAAAATGTTGCCTTTTAATACATGCCTTCATCTTTCAAACACTGAACACTTACTAGGAATGGAAGAACATAAAAATGTAAAACATGAAGGTCAAAAACTCTGCAACCTAGAAGTTGGGACAAAGTAAGAATGTGATATACTAATATGAAGAAAGGCAGCTCTTGGAGTCAGAGCCAGGGCAGATGTGCACATGAGGCATGAAAGAGATGAGTGGGGCTAAAACCTAGTACACTGCCTTATATTCTGGTGAGAGCCACAACCCATACAAAAGTGCAGGTCCTTATCAACTGGCAATAGGATATCTTTGTGCTGGAGGAGGCCACATAACAATGTAAGAGACTAGAAGAGTAGGAGGGGGAGCCTGGATCTATTCCCCATCAGTTTAAGGCTGTGTTTGTTAAGAACAAGACACTCAACATAGATTAGAATGGTTAAGAAGATCCCAGCTCTCTCCAAGCACAAGCCCTGGTATTAAATCTGCAGCACTGGAAACATTTGCACACTTATGTAAATAGTCAATTCTACTCTAGAAGCAATTAAGAATTACCTTGATGATCAACATAAGGCTTGAAGGCCTGAAGGATTTTTGGCACAGCCACCCCCATGTCAAGTTCCGTCAGAGTTAGCTCATTCATAAAGTAGGGGAGCTACAGAAAAGAAGCAAACAAAGAATGAGAGACATTAGTAACCTGGTAACAATGCTAAGGTAAGTTAGAAGTCAACTTACTCTTAGAGGAGATGGTTTTGGGGATACATCATTTGTTTAACCAAATTTAATGGTGCATAAACTATACCAGGCTGTACCACAGATAGAGACATGAACAAGGTGGCCAATTCCTTGCTCTATAGGGTTTATAGTGGACAAGCAGCATAGATAAATAAGTAGACAAAGACATTTATAATCTAAAGTAGGTAATGGGGCAAAGTGTATGGGACTCAGTCAGGGTGGCTATCTTAGCTAAGGAGGTCAGGAAGCTTCTCTGAGGCATGATATTTGACCAGAGACCTGCTTGTGGAGAAGGAGCCAGATATTCTGGTGAGTTCAATAAGACCCAGAGGTGGTAAAGTATGGGGAAATGGAGCTCTCTTAGATTATTGGTAGGGAATAAGAAATTGCACAACACTCTGACAGACAAATTTATCACATACATTAAAATCCTTAAAAAAAAATCACATTCTTTGACCTGTGCTGGCCATTTGCTGTCTGTCCTGCTGTATTCACACTCCATCCTCTACATGGAGAGGCTAGACTGTATGAACTGCATCCATGGTCTCTCTTGCCCTCAGATGTCTGGTTGGGCTTGGCTAATGGGATGCACCAATGGACAGGGGTTGGGGAAGGATGGGGAGAAGTACTGTTGGGCATTTGTCCCCTCTCTCCATTGAAGGACACAGACACAGTTCTTGTGAGACAGGAAGCTATTTCCACACAACTACCCTGCCTGAGGTCGGGTAACTGCTCTTTGCCTTTCTCCTTCAGGGAGGGGCACAGTTCCCCACTTCTGCTAGTCCAAAAGTGCTGCAGTCTCCCTTCTGATTTCTCTACATCTCCTCCAGATTACTCATCTGGGCATACCATCTGGTTCCTTCTGAGTCTTGACTAATACATCCACCTGAATCTATTCGCAGGAATTTATTCTAGAGGAAATAACGTAAGAGTACTTGTATCACACTCAGAAATTCTTATTTCATGTCAAGATTGTACAACTAATACATTATGTATTTCCTCTGCTTGGACTTGTAAAGTAATTTAAAATCTTTATGTCATTCATTGTCTTAAGGTAAGATGTAAACTAGGGATCCAATTTAATTACCCTCCCCCCACCCGGCCATTGGCTACTTAGCAATCTCAACCTATTTACTGAGCAACCAATATCTTCCCTACTGGTCTGTACTGCCACCTGTAAATAACCAGATTCCCATCACACTGGAGTCTGTATTGAGCTTTCTGGTTTTGCTATTATCAAACTGCTCTTATTACTGTAGCTTTATAACACATTTCTAAATCTGGCAAGTCCCTCTCCTTTCTATGCTCCCAGAATTCTCTTAGTTATGAGTATTTTTCCAGTTGAACATAAAATAAGTTATAAAGTTTAGAATAAGATTAAGGTTTAAAAAAATTAAATGCAAACAATATTTCCCATAAAATTAGGTTCTATTTGATGAGACATGGATTTAATACAAACTTGGCAGGACCTCTTCAGCTATCTCTCTGCAGAAAAGAATAAACATTTAGGATTCATCAGTTGGAGAACGTCATCTCTGATTCTTCATGGGGGTGGAGGGATTATGTTAAAGAAGTCTGATGTCTAATGAGCAAAATTTGAGTAGAGACAGTGTTCAAATGTGCATTTTTGAATTGGTGGTTGGTTGCTGTGTTTGGAACATGTTTTTCCTCAAAGTATGGATGTTATGTAAGTGGGGTTGACTTCTCTATCAACCTATAAAATGCTAGTTGGCCAAGAATGTAGCCTTTTATCTCTTACTGTAATTCTAAAACCCAGCATTTCAGGAGTCTGCCAGGTCAGAGAGACTTTGGGTCAGCCAAGGAAAAGGCCACCTCCAACAATGGTTCTAATGGGAACATGAGTCCCAACCTAACCACAGCAGGAACTGCCCTTCTCTCTCCTGTCACACTTACTCCCTAACTGCATTATGCACCCTAGGGTCCCTACAAAGGTAAAGGAAGGAACTGGGATAGGTCTTGAGGCAAAGGCACAAGGCACTGAGGAGGTAGCAGAGTGGGTAGCCTCTAACTGCTAGTGAGTACAGTGGGAAAGGGTCATGAAGGGACTTTTTCCTATTATTCACTTGTTTGTCCACCCCCAAGAATCTGTAACGTCTGCAGCTAACCCCTCCTCACCCTCTCCTTGTTCAGCTCTCTATCCAGGAGCAACCTCCTTCCTACACTGCAGAAGGCAAGACACAAATCACTGCTCTGTGCTATGAACAGAGTCAACCAGAAACCCTTTTGCTTCCCACCCAAAGAGCCCTGCTGTGAGACAGGAACCCAGAAAAACATTTTTTTTTTTAACCCTCTTGAGTAAACCCAAGTAGGGACAGGACAGTCAGCTATATCAGACATGCTCAGGTTGGTAGGTGATAAGTCAGATGCCATATGTAATGACAGCAGCATCTGCTGACATAAGCATGAGTGTCCCATAACCCCGAGGTCTCAAAGGGTATATTTCAGCAGTCACTGAACAGCCAAGTGTCCTTGCTGTTGTGGCAGAAACTCAGCTTGTATAAAATCCATCCTTGGGCACCAGATGCACACAAGGGCTGCTCTTTCACAACATGAGTCATTGTCACATGCAAGGGTGACAATCCAAGACTGTAGGACAGGCCCAGAAGTTGGTACTATCCTCTTGCCTTCTTGTTTGTTCCCCTGTCTGGGCCTCTCACAAGGCAGCAGCTCAGCTGCAGTGGGGGTGGGGGGGGGTGAAGATAGGGCTGGCAATAGAGGGGACATAGCTCCCTCTGAACTCTGGCACTGCTGGTTCTAGACCACTCCTCACCACTCTAACCTTTTAAGCACGTCTGACCTCAAACAGCAAAAGAAAGTTTAAGTTTGTGAACTGCAAGAGCCTACATGATCAACAATAGGACCAAATGAGAATAGATTTTCCTCAATTTCTTCAGGAATGAGGGAGTCATCACACTCAACCATGGGAGCAGAGGCACCATGATTTCTGGCTCCATATAGAAGCCTGGACTCTCCTCCTAATGCCTTTGGAATGTATGTAGCAAGAGCCCCATCCATCTGGAGCCCAAGCACACACTGTTTTCTTTTACATTCTGCCAAGAAGTACAGTCCTCCCATCTCTGGGAAAATAACATGGGCAGCTCTGCCTGTGCGTCTTGATCTGGAACTCCAGCCTCTGTCATTTCCAAGGTGGCAAAGACGTTAAATGGCTCTAGGTTGTCTGCTGACATCCCATCCCCCCAACAGAGAGGGTCACTGCTGCTTGCTCTCCCCTCCCCTCTTGACCATCTGGCAGAAGCAGAGTCAACCCTCAACCTACCGGAGAACACAAAGTGGCTAACTTGTCAAAGAGCCCTCTCAAAGTCCTGCCCCCAATTCTGTCTCAAAATCCCATCTTTCAGCTCAGAAGGCTGCCCCTCTTTACTGAGGGGCTGGGGAAGGGGAAATACTGGCCTGCAGATGGCAGGCGGAGCTCACCATAGCTTCACTAAGCCAGAGGAAGGACCAAAACCAAACTGAAGCTCATTCCTGCCCATATTTTCCTTCTAATTTTATCTTAGCTTACAGTTTCTTAACCCTGAGTTCTTGAACTCTGAAATCATGTGCAAAATTTTCCATTGGTGTGCATTTTTCTTCTTTATTTTTTGTTTTTGATGATCTTGGGCCATTGCCCTCAGATCTTTTTACTTTAGTTTATTTTTTAGGTAGGGTCTCATTTTTCCCGGGGGCCAGCCTCAGACAATGATCCTCCTACTCCGGCCTCTTGTGTAGCTGGGATTACAGATGTGTGCTACGCCTGGCTTATTTTTTTGAGATAGGGTTTCACTCACATTTTTGTTCAGGCTGGCCTTGAACTACATTTGTCCCATCTCTGCCTCCCGCACAGCTAGAATTACAGGTCTGTGACACTACACCCAGCACAGTGTGCATATTTCTAAGGGAAACACTCTCAGATTTCTGCTTCTTGAAGAATATCTATGATTAAAAAAAAAAACCAAAAACCAAAAAACCTCAGAGCCACCGACATAAGCTACCACCCACATAACTCTCAGTGAAGACTTGGGGACTAAAGTGAGTCTTTCTTGGATAGTCCTTCACCGGGTCAAAGATTTACTTCTAAGGACCCTCCAGGAGATGCAATGCATATTTTAGTGACAGCCATGAGGAACACTTAGGTAGCTTAAATTCACTTCCAAGTGGGTCTGGCTTAGCACCAAGAGTGTTTCTTCAGCAGAGAGCCCAAAATAAAGTACCATCTGGCCAAAATCAAAGGTCAATCACAGACACATTTTGAGCTGATGCTCACTGTCCCAGCTGCCAGAGGGAGTGCGGTTAGGAAAGGCTCTTAAGTAGTCCAGGATTTCCTCCAAGTTGACCATGTGGCCTGGACAACTACAAGCCTGGGTGAGCTCTGGACAGACAATTTAACTTTGTTCCTAACTCAAAGATAACAGAACTACATAAGACAAATCATTTACAGGAGCTTATATTTCCCCCAAACAAATTCTGGGTGATCACTTGGACAATGATGAGGTAACACCAGATAAGAAGGAAACAGAACAGCTGACTAAGTCCCCAGATGTGATTAGTCATAGATCACGATCAGTCTGTGATCCAGGTCAGATGTATTGCTTGAGAACTTACTACCCTCAAATATTCTATGCTTAAACCAAGTTATTTTTTACTCAGGGCACAAGGGTATAGATCATCCAAAAATGAATTAGAAGCTTGATGGGTAGAAAGCAATACCTTTATTTTGCTGAGTTTCATCTGGATTTTCTTAGACACCAGATCAGACCAGTATTTCTCGCCTAAGAAGTCCCAAAATATTCTTCCAAGTAACGCATTCACCCAGGCTTCCTGTTCTTCCTCCTCAGAGGGTGGAGCCTCTGGGAACTGCAAAAGAAAAGGGGCCAAAATTAGCTAGAATACAACTGAAGAATAAGACAGGTACTTATTTTCATAAAGTCTCTGAAGGTCCTTCCTATGGAAACAGGGGACTGCGTGAGTTGTACTTCTTCCCTATAAATTAAAAGTCCCATGTTATACCAGTGAACAGAAAAAAAGGAGAAATGAAAGCTTCCACCACAGCTATAACCAGCTCTTTGTCTACTTTCTTTTTCGCCCAGTCTTCCTGTGAACCAACTAGCATCCATAGCATTAGCTCAAATAAATTACCCTATCCCCCAATTTAACTTAGTATTCACAATATATTTACCATATATCTGCTTACATTTCTTCCAGCTGAGAATGGACATGTAATCATTAGGCTCGTCCTTATCCAGGCAAAACTCAGATTCCCAGTGGCCAGGACTCAGTTCCAGCCTGATCCTTGCAAGGTCAAGATATTCTTGGGATGCTGAAAAATACTGATGCTTTCATCACGCTCCTAGAGACACTGAGTTAAGTGGCATCAGGAGTTTCAGAAGCTCCCTCTTCATGCGATGAAGAGGTGAGAATGAGAACCACAGGCCGGATTAGAAAAGCTGCTCAGGGCTGCTGTTTCACCAATCCCAGCCCAGCGAAACACCCTCCCCTTGATGCAATCTGCCCAAAACATCTGGCTGTTATGTGAGAAAATGTGCATCTCCAATTTCCTAGGCTACTTTTTAAGACAATGGGTCCTGGCCTGTCAAGGGCCAGGGATGGGGATAAAGAAGAAGAGGGAAGCATCAGCAAGACTCACGGAGAGGGCTATGAGGTATAAATGGTTAGTACAGGTGATGGGGTCAGAACTCAGAAAAGCAGTAATATCAGTACTGCTATTACAGCTGATGTCCAAGGACCACACTGGGCTCTACACCACATTGCTCGGGGTTGCCTCATTCATGTGTCATAATATCCCAGTAATATAAGAGCCTTGCTTTCATCTGATGGAAGAGAGGTCCCTAGCCAGACTCAGAGCCTTGTTCTCCTTGTTCTCCACTTGCTCTGGGGGAGGGAGGGATGGTAAGTGACATCCCTGGTATGACAGACATTTTCCTACACTGAGGTCTCTAACTAGACCACAGCCTTACAGAAACAACAAACTTTGGAAAACAAAGGTGAAAAAAATCCAGAAGTGCAAAATCTGAATTGTTCACCCTTTCCCCTCTCTCTGTGGTTTATATACACACATCTGCCCTGCACACGTGTTAGGCCATACATTCCTCACTCTCCCTTCATGCCTTATACTTGGGCATTCACACCAGTGTGATCTCTTCTGAGCAGCTATAACTGTCCCACATCACAGTTGTGTGCCTAGGCCATGGCACAGTTCACAAGTCACTTGGTACCCATAGATGTGACCCTTGCAGGTCTGACTGCTTTTAAGAACGTGCAAAGTTTACTTGGACCTCTAAGGATCTGATCAAAGTGAGCCAGGTATGGAGCCTGGGCCAAGTCCAGTGGACTGCTCAACACCTCTGTCCACTAGTCAGGTTACAACTGTGGCACTCTCTATTTATGGACCTGGGGGTTTCACTAACACTTTTCAATCACATTACTGATGTGATATATGCTAGGAGGTCTTCAAATTTGGATGTTTTCCATGGTCTCCCTTATGAATATTGAGGAATGTCACTTAAAGAAATTAAACCCTGGTTTAAAATGAATACATGTTCCATTTCAGGAAATGTGGCCCTACCTTGCTAATGGCTGTGGAGCATTCTATCTGGGCTTTTCAGTCTGGACAATAACCAGGACATTTTCTACCACCAGGTCCTGGACAAAAAGGCAGATGTCTGCACCAGTGACTGCTCAGTTATGCCACAGCTTTGTGTGTTTTGCAATCACTTTTCTCTCTACGTGAACATCTTGGGCCCCATAGGTAACAAGTGCAGTCTTTCTGAGGTTGCAGACTTTGAGTCCCATCAGATTATCTACATAGTTATACAAGGACAATGGTCACTTGGCTACTGTGACAGTGCCAAGCTGCTACTCACAAAAGATCCCACTTGTCTTATTAGATCTGTAATCTACATAAGAGGTTACTTTTTCCTTCTGAAGAGGGAGAGTCTTCTCTTTATCAACCTTTCTTCACAATGCTGGTTTTCACAGGAACCAGGTTTTGTGTGAAACAGCAGGAAACAAAGGTTACCTCACAATGTATGTCCAAGACAATGGCGCGTGCATGATGCGGAAGAGTTTTTTGGAATAACTGACAAGCAGGTTATTTTTTCTTTTGAACAGGTCCTATTTCTAATGTAGGCTCCTCTCCACAGTTGCACCAGGAACAAAGAAAAACCTGAGAGCAGCAGAACACTGACAATGCATCAAAGAAGCTTCACGGCAGAAATCTGGACTGCACAGGCTGCTGGGAAGAACTCACTTTCAAAAACTGTCATAAAAATTTAAAGCTGGAAGAACAAATGTGCATACATTTCCTAATATTGCCGTTTGGCTGCAAGCAGAAATGTGAGGAGAATATTCATTCCACCATTTATTTCCACAATATACACAAATTTAGAAAGGGTAACTTCCTAAAGATGGCTCCCAAAAAAATGTTTGGGAAGTTCAGTGGTCCAAAGCTGAAGCAAGGCTGTCAAGGCTGTCTAAACAGCTCTTGGGATATATTTTATTAAAAACTAACTTCTAAAACCAAAGTAGTACAGATTTACTCAATTTCGTGGTGTAACATTTCCTGTTATGAACAGCTAGGGAGAGCAATCCAGTCGTGTCTACAAAGGAAGCATAGAGCCTCTACTCCTGAGTTTGGCTGCTGCCACAAAGGTGTCATGAGTAGCAGCTCAATGCAGGAGAGGACACAACAGAGGACCCTTATCCCAAGCTCCTTTGTTTGTTCCCGATTTTAACAGTAATACAAGCTGGGCACTGGTGGCTCACACCTGTAATCCTAGCTAGTTGGGAGGCTGAGATTGGAAGGATTGCGGTTCAATGCCAACTAGGGAAACAGTTCATGAGACCCCCATCTCCAAAATAACCAGAGTAAAATGGACTAGAGGTGTGGCTCAAGTAGTAGAGCTTTGTAAGGGCAAAGCCCTGAGTTCAAACCACAGTCCCACCTAAAAGGAAAAAAAACACCCATAATCTCACTGCCCAAATATAATTATTCAAAACATTTTCACTGTATTTTCTTTCAGTGTTTTTCAATGTCATGACACTTTTAAGAAAGTAGAATTCTTTTTCAAAATCAAATTGGGGGCTCAAGTGGTAGACTGCCTGCCTAGCAGTGGGAGGCCCTGAGTTCAAACCCCAAAAAACACCCCCAAACCAAACAACAACAAGAATACTAACAACAAAAATACCCAACAACAAAACTGAATCTGGCTACCTGGCTTTGTATTCATTTTTCAGCTTTACTGAGATATAACTCAAAGACTATACAATTCATGCATTAAATGTATATAGTTCAACAGATGCTAATTTAAACACAGAATTGCAATATGATATAGTAATTCCACTTCTGGGGATACACCAAAAAGAACTGAAAGCAGGGTCTCAAAGAGCTATGCATACACCCACACTCATGGCAGCATTATTCACAATGGCTAAAATGTGGAAGCAACCCAGGTACTCACTGACAGATGAAGGAATAATCAAAATGCTATAGAAATGCACAATGGAACATTATTCAGTCTTAAAAAGGGGAAGGAAAGGTAGGTAGTGGTGGAGCACACCTGTCATCCCAGTACTCAGGAGGCTAAGGTAGGAATGTCACAAGTTTGAGGCAAAAGAAAGAAGAAAGGGAAGGAAGGAAGGAGGGAAGGACAAAAGGAGGGAGGGAGGGAGGAAAGCAAGGAAGGAAGGAAGGAAGGAAGGAAAATCCTGTCTCATGCTACACATGGATGAACCTTGAGATGAGTCTATTTGTATGAGGTACTTAGAATAGTCAGAATGATAGAGACCAACAGTAGGTTGCCAGGAGCTAGGAGGAGGGAAGGGGAGAAATGGGGAGCTACTGTTTAGTGTGTATAAAGTTTAAGTCTTATAAGATGAAAAGTGGTGGTGGAGGCACAATATTACTAAACACTTAGTGCTTAAGATAGCAAATTTTGTGTTATGTATATTTTAACACGATACAAAATTTAAAAGTAAAGCACAATTCAGTAGTTTTTAGCATATTCATAGAGTTGGGCAGCTATCACCACAATTGATTTCAGAACATTTTCATTATCCTCAAAAGAAACTTTAACCAAATACCTATCAGCAGTCACTCTACTCCCATGCTCTACCCTCCTACTAGCCTAGAAAACAACTCTGTCTCTATGAATTTGCCTGTTCGCTTGTGACTTTTCACTTAGTATAATGCTTTCAAGGTTTATAAATGTAGCACTATACTCTTCCTTTTTATTGTAGAATGATATTTTTTTTTCATTGACCCAACCCAGGGCCTTGTGCATGCTAGGCAAGTGCTTGACCGCTAAGCTACATTCCTAGCTCTTGGTTTTTTGAGACAGGATCTTGCTATATAGGTTAGGCTGGCCTTAAACTCATAATCCTTCTGCCTCTGCCTCCTGAATGCTGGGATTACAGGTATGCATCACCATATCCAGTGTTTTTGTAGACTAATATTCTATTGTATGCACGTATCACACTCTCATTTACCATTTGATGGATACTTGGGTTGTTTTCCACTTTTGGCTACTGCAAATAATGTTGCTAGGATCCTATGTGTACAGGTTTTTGTGTGAGCATGCATTTTCATTTTTGGAGTAGAAGTATTGGGTCATAATCATCTCTCTATGTTTAACTTTTTTGAGGAACGACTATACTATTTTAAACAGTGGCTCAACATTTTGCATTCTTACCAGCAGCATCTGAGGGTTCCAACTTCTCTGTATCCTATCTAATACTTGTTATTACTTGTTTTTCGTTTTTGGCAGAACTGAGGTTTGAACTCAGGGCCTCAGGCTTGCTAGGTAAATGCTCTACCACTTAAGACATGCCTCTGGCCC